CCAAATGTTTGGCTAGTGGTGGCACAAGGGACTTTGTGTCGGGTTTAAAATCAAACTGGAACGGAAAATTATTTTTTAAATCAAAATATTTATCGGCTGACTTCGGATACTATGGAGATTAGGAGGTTTGGAACTACCACGGTTTATAACAAAAAAATATAATTTTTTTTTAATCAAGCATAAAATCAAATAAAAATTTGTAATTAAGGAAAATGATAATAAAACCATTACACATATTACATGGACCAAAATAATGGATCTGGGCTTAAAGCGTTCACGATCTCAACGTTCTCCTTCCTCGCTCACGTTGACAACATCTCTCTCCAAATTTTCTTATAACTGTTCAAATCGTTAATTGTCCTTGAATCGAAAGCTTCGATCTTTACTTGACGAATTTGAAGCAAAAACTCGGCCTCTTGTTTCTCACATGCAAAATCCCCAGAATTCACTGGAAACTGAAATTAATCCCGTGAGTTTTTTTTTTCGTTTTCCGTTAGTTTTCTGCCTCAATTCTGGAAATTTTCTTCTGGGTTTTGTTCGAATTGTTGTGGAGATTTACCTTCAAATTCAATGATCTGGGTTTGATCAAAGTCTGCGTTTTTTTTCTCTTAATTTCCCACTGAAGATTTTGTTCTTGATGATCACAAGTGTTCATCTGATCTGGTTAATGCTTAATCTCCCTCTTTGGTGTTCTTCTCGAGCATGAATAATTATCCATTTGGGTCGATTAGCCCTAATAAGTCATTTCATGCTTACGCAAGAAGTGGTGATTTTGATTTAGAATCAGGAACTATCAGAAAATCTAGAAAGTCGAAGAATTCGTTTGCCAAAATGTTCAAATCTCTAGGGAATCGCCTTCACCACTTGTTCAAATTGCATCCGATTCTCGTTTGCATCGTTGTCCTCTCGTTTGGGATCACAGTATTGATATTTGTATCGTCGATTTACGATAACCAAATTCGATCAACGGTAATTTATAAGAAGAACGATTTGGTGGACAACGATGTTTATCCATTTGCCAAGCTGAGAAACCTTGTGATGGTGGCTGGACATTCTGTTTATACGAGCAGTGATTGCGGTAAAGTCGATAAAGAGGATTCGTGGTTCTTGGAGTCTTATCAGAAGAATCCAGGTCAAGCTGCAACATTCTTGAGTCATATACAAGAAGGTGTTAAAGCTGCAGCTAAAGATGATGAGTCTTTGCTTCTATTTAGTGGAGGAGAGACTCGCAAAGACGCTGGACCTCGTAGTGAAGCTCAGAGTTATTGGGCTGTTGCTGAGTCTAAAGGATGGTTCGGTGAGTCTAATTGCTTTAACTGCCATGTTAGTTTTTATGCTCTCTATTAACTTGATAGTAAAAATGTGGTTTTGATTATGGACAGGCAAGGATGAGGTGAGGTCGAGGGCATTAACGGAAGAGCATGCCAGAGATAGCTTTGAGAATCTGCTCTTTAGCGTGTGTCGATTCAGAGAGCTCACAGGCTCTTACCCACAGAACATAACAGTAAAGCCTTTTGCTTCCAAATTTTTCGCTCTTTAGTAAGCGAAAGGGAAGTCATTCTTGTGATATTAATGTATCCTTCATGCTTGAATCAGGTAGTGAGTTATGATTTTAAAGAAGAGAGATTTGCGCATTTGCATCGTTCAGCAATGGGGTTTCCAGAATCAAGATTCTTCTACTTAGGAACCCCATTTTCACTTTCATCCAAAGAAGGCGCTCTGAAAGGTGAGGCTATGGTTAGATCTCAGTTTCAAGAAGACCCATATGGATGTGTTGGTTCGCTTTGGCGTAAGAAGCTGAAGCGTGACCCTTTCCACCGGACTATACCTTACCCTAATGGTTGCCCTGAAATTAGAGGATTGTTCAGGTACTGTGGTTCGGCTCCTTTTCCTGGCTCTCTCCCATGGGATTGATCTGTGTGAGATCCATACTTAGACATGCTTAGAGGAAGCGATACTTAATCAAGAGTTTGGTAGACACTGATGTTTTGTGTTACTTTCATCAATGTTTAGATATTCAGACAGAACCAAAAGAGAAACCTTCAGAATTTTTGTATTCCACAGACTTGGAATTTAACTTATATCAAAGCAATTTACCTGTAATAAAATTATGAGATTTCTATTCAATAAAGGATCACTATATATTCACTACTTTTATTCGATAAAAAAAAACACGGTATTTATCATCCATGTTCAATCAAAGCTGCCTGGAAACAAGAACACAAAAGAATGGTAAAAGAGTAGTTGGTTACTAAAGCAGCAGCAACCGGGAGCTCTGTCTCAAAACGGTTTGTTGTTCTGATTGATGGGTTTGGAGGAAGAAGACGATGATTTCCTGGTTTTGGCAAAGTCAACTAGATCTTTGAAAAGGATATCTTCGGGTTTGTCATCTTTCTTTGGAGGTGTAGTAGCAGCAGCCGAGGCAGTTGGATTCAGAGAGAGATTCCGGGATTGTCCCACGAGATCATCGTAAGAGGAATCAGAGCCACTGCTTGAGTGTTGAGGAACAGTATTGTGCTGATATTCTTGCCTCTGGTTGGTTCTAGCAGACATAGGTGGTGGGAAAATCATGGTTCGGTCAGAATCCCATGGAGCGGGAGGCAATTGCTCAGATTGGTCATAAACTGGTGGTTTGGTGAACAAAGCTTGCTCAGGGGATTTGCTCAGGGGAACTGGATCATCGAAAACAGGAGCAGAAGAGTATTGATTTGGTGAGTGGGAAGTGGTCGGAGGCTTTACATTCTCCGCGACTCCTTGAGGTTTGTAGACGTCACCACTGAGGAAGTCCATAGCACCAGAATCAACTTGTACTGGCCTCATTGAAGATGGTGGAGGAGGAAGAATAGGGTTGAAATTCCCTTGTCCACTCGCTCGTGCGCCCTCTCTCTTTGACCTGCAGAGATAAATCCGATGAATTCTGCAATCCAAGTCTTGGGATTCAACTGGAATGAGCAAGGAATGGGCATTTACCTGAGAGCTAGCTGACCAAAATCATCATCTGACTCATCGTCATCCTCATGGTTGATGCTAACAAGAGGTATTGGAGTGGGAGCTGTTGCAGGAACAGAGTTTCCCTTTGCCTTATCATCATGGTGCTGAAGAACTCGCTGCAGATTGTCATTCAACGCCAATCCTTGGCACAGAAGTTCCTCATCTCTGCAAAAAAGAAGGTGACTCTCTGAACATTAACAAAATCTATCACACGGAGGAGCCAACAGGAGAATCAAGGAGAAAACAAATGAATCCTTACGAAGTAGTGTTCACCAGAGTCATAACACGTCTTTGATAAGTACGGCATTGCTCGACCAAGTCAACTATAAGTTCTTCCTTTAAACCCTGTCACAATATTTAGAACAGTGAGTGTTTCAAATGAGATCAAACAACAAAGCCATTAGATCTAATCATGTAATATTCTACCTCCGGATGGCTTGGATCAAGAGCCCCAAGCATGTCCATCAAAACATCAACTGATCCCTGAGCGCTTTGAATCTCTTCCATGCTGAACAAATGAAGACGCTAAAGTCTATAACGTGCTTGAGACACAGAATACTCATTAATCCATCAGACAGGTCTAGCAAACAAGAGTGTACCTCAGTGCAGAAGCATCATCACTTTGCAGAGAGGCCTGAATAGCAGCATCTTCATCTGATGGAGCGGCGTGAGCAATAATGGGCTGAGTCTGAGGTGGAGTAAAGAATGGTACACTGCTCTCGGTTCGAGGTGGGAATTCAATTCCTGCAGACTAAAATTTTCAAATGGCCAAATCGGTTATCAAAACTTTGACACATAATATTAAAAACTGAATATTCGTAAAAGGTCCATGTACTATACTCTGAGTTCATTATAAGCATTGTAATACTGAGGAAATCTTCCGCCACTTCCACCAAAAGCCTCTTGCCATGTATCTAATAAACTGAGTATCTTCTCCCTCACACTCAGGTCTGGCTGTATATGTCAGTTTGGTAAGTAGTAAGCGAATTTGATCATCGAATTGATATATAACAAGCAGGTGAGAGATGGTAAGTAAAAACCTTTTTCTTCACTATTTTGACCATATCAGGCAAAATATCACGGTCAACAATAAGCTGGTACACGCTCTCGCCACAATTCTTACTCAGAGTTTCCAATGCCTGAACCGAGCATTCACGAATGAGAAGATCAGTACAATAAACGGAACCAAACCATATCATTGTATCCACAGAAAGAGTGGAAAAAAGGACGTACATAAAGAGCGAGAATCTGCACTTTAGAATTTTTACTTCCTAAACGTTTCTTGAGCACCTTCACTGCTTCTTTTGCTTGACTACATCGACAAAACAAGGTCAAAACTTTCAGATATCAGTAAATCCAACTGCGATGACGAAGAACTTTATCATTGTTATGAGAGTAAAAACACATCAAACGAGCATTACCTAGGATCCATGTTGATAATGTCACACAATTCAATGTTGATAGCCCAATCTGGACCAATCAGCATATCATTTGTAGCCCTCTCAGCACAAGCAGCCCCGTTATTCGCCATTGCAAGATCGTTTTTTCAGTCAAATCCTAAAGTTCCAACTATCCAATCAGTATAAACACAGGTTGAATAACAAGAAATCTTAAAAAGAAGTCAAAGATCAAGTACTGTATCACATCACTGAGAAACAAACAATGTCTATCAAAACACACAGACCAGCTTGTAATAAGACCAGATCACAAATCCAGAAGCATCAATTGTCAAACAAAATCAAATTCCAAACGAAATCATTTAAAAGAAGTGAAATCCAATCCCGAAATTGCCTTCTTTTACGAATTACCCAAATCCAAAAAACTGGAATTAAAGGGCACAAGAATTACGAAAAGTATGAATCGAACTCTAGGCAAGAGTTTCAAACAAAACCCTATAATGTGTACATGTCTGGAGAACAAGGAAAGCGAATCGAACAAACACAACATAACAGAATTTACCTGTTGATAAGACTCTAAAACTTACGAACAGAGCGTCTCGCGATCAAGAAGATTGAGGGTACTCTTAAAAATCTGAACTTCGTATTAAAAAACACGATCGGAGTTTGTGTGATTTGTATCAG